AGTAACTTGACATTACTATAAACAAAAGGCTTGTGGATACTATCAACTTAGTGAACTCAAAACATTTTTGTCTTAACTACTGTTGGATGCTTGAAAGTTCTGATGCATAGCCAACCCGGGATTAATTAATAATAGGAAAAAATTGTTGTTTTATTTCCTCATTGCATTTTATATTTTTTAAGAATAATTTTGTAATTTATGTTTGTGTGAATATATGTTTTGATATTTTGGGTATCTTATTAAAAACTTAATCGAAAAACTTATAAGTTAAAGCGTGAAGCTTAATGGAATAAGCTAAAAATGAAATAAGTTTGTACATGAATCTTATTGAAATAAGCTAAAAGAGCTTATGAGAAGATCACAAACTTAAATAAGATCTTATATTCATTTTACTGTAACATGTTCTCAGATGTATTGTTAATATTAATTAATAACTATTGGGTGTGTTACTTTGTTGCTTGCAGGCCATATATGTGCTACTGAGTCGGAAGTCAGAGCAAGAACGCAGACTACTTTCTGCACTTATTAATAAAGTGAGTTAACAGTGAGCTAGGCCAGTCTGCATTTATTTTTTTTCATCTTCATTTGGTCTAATTAAAAATGTGATCAGTGAGCTCACTAGAACTACTATAATCTGTTACTAAGACTGTTTTTTTCACTGTGGCCTCTCTCTCTCTCTCTCTCTCTCTCTTTGTTGGTGGGTGGCTTTGATATTTCGTTAGCTTGGGGATCCAGATAATAAAGCAGCATCTAATGCTGACTTTCATTTGTCCAACCTATTGTCTGACCACCCAAACATGAAGGTATGAATATTTATCAACCCTAGTATTGTTTTAACCGTTTACTTTAGTTTTGGGAGTATCTATAATTTGAATATTTGAGCCAATATTTAGAGTTTTAGCCAATAGCTGGAGTTTATTATGTGACTAAATAATTGATAATTAGATATACTTGAAGGAACATCGCAAGCTGAAAAGTTTTCATGCCTGCTATGATTTCTTTAATCTCATTTTCCTTTTTTAGAATATAATGACTATTTTGGTTTTGGGGTTCCCTGGTATTTAGCAATATTCTTGACATTTAGTCCCATTTTACCTCAATTTATTTTAGCTACTAATGTTTTTCTTGATAAATTTCCTATCCAGGCTGTGGTTATCGACGAGGTGGATTCTTTTCTTTTCCGGCCTCATTTAGGACCAAGATCACAGTACCATGCTGTATGTCCTATAATGTTATCCTCACCTTTTCTTACATCATTCACTGCAAAATAAAATGCCTGTGCCTTTTTTACCCTTTGTTGTTATATGATCAATGAAAATCTTCTGTGCAATACTATATCTATTTCAGATCACTTTTTTGCAGTTGCAGAAGTGGCCCTTCCAATTTGATATTACTTTGTGAAATTAAATTTGAAGTTCTGTCAAAATCCCCTTAAACATATGGTCTGTCTGGAGAATCTCATTGGCTGCCTTTTTTACTTTTGTAGATTAATTTCTTGAGCCAAATCCGCCTCACAAATAAAGGAGATGGACCGAAAGTGGCAAAACGTCTTATAGATGTATATTTTGCATTGTTTAAGGTATTGATTATCCCTAGAATCATTCGTTAAGCTTCTCTTGGGCTGAGATATTATGACTTTTATACAAGTTAAAAAATAGTTGAATGGGGAAAATATTTACTATTACATATCTTCAGGTTTTAATTACTGGCGCAATCAGCAACCAGAAGGTTGATAAAAGTGGCAAGGGAAATGCGAAAGAGGACAAATCAAAAGATTTATCAGAATCGCATGTGGAATTGGACTCTCGACTTTTATCGGTTCTCCTAACCGTAAGTTTGACAATAATATCTAAGAATTCTTATGAACATTGGTTAATGATTGTGATTTTTATCATGTCAAGTTCAGTTCTAATCTGGGATTTCATTTGGTATTGTTGTAGGGAGTGAATAGAGCATTTCCTTTTGTCTCAAGTGATGTAGCTGATGGCATTGTTGATGTTCAAACACCAGTACTTTTCCAATTGGTAATTACTAATCTGTTAGCAAGGAAAAACTCCGTGAAATATGTTACAGATGGATCGCATCACCTGATTTTGGTTCCTAGATATCTTAATGTTCTGCAAACTTGCAGGTTCATTCAAAGAATTTTAATGTAGGAGTTCAAGCACTGATGCTTCTTGATAAAATTTCATCCAAAAATCAGATAGCCAGTGATCGGTTTTACCGTGCTCTGTACTCCAAACTTTTGCTTCCGGCTGCCATGTATACATCTAAGGCAAGAAAAGTCTTTTTTTACATTTGTCTTTAAATAAATGCTCGTGCATATACCATGCCGCAATAATCTCTAGGATTTTCTGATGTGTTTGTCCTCAGGCAGAAATGTTTATTGCACTTCTTCTCCGAGCAATGAAAAGAGATGTTAATTTAAAGCGTGTCTCTGCATTTTCTAAACGTATATTGCAGGTGATTATTAAAATGCACTTTCTCTACGTTTCTCTTTCTATATATACCACTACTGATTTTTGGTTTGTTCAGATTGCACTTCAGCAGCCACCACAATATGCCTGTGCATGCCTTTTCCTTCTTTCTGAACTCCTTAAAGCCAGACCACCTTTATGGTAATTACCTTTTCTGACACTGCTATTGTCACTACTACTTTTATGTGTGAAAAAGATATATATATATATATATATATATCCATTGGTCATAGAACATCATTGTTATTCTGCACTGAGAATTTTCCGACAGAATTGGCCAACTATTTATTTGACCTGAAAAAAAATCATCTTCTCTTCACTTGTCTTGTAGGAACATGGTGTTGCAGAACGAGTCTGTAGATGAGGAACTTGAGCACTTTGAAGATGTTATAGAAACTGACAATGAACCCATCACTGTATCAAATAAACTAAAGGATGATGTTGCAGTTGCACAGAATGGTGAGGACCCCAAGTCTGACACCAGTTCTTCAGAGAGTGAAGATGATCTTCCTGCATCTTTTGAAGATGATGATGATTCAGAGGATGATGGCTCAGAGGATGCGGAATTTTTGCTTGCAAAGAATGAAAGGATTCATAAGAAATCAAAAAAATCAAAATCTGTATCTAATAATGAAAGTCAGCAGTCACAATTATCTGCTGAGAAGTCTTCCCTTCCTGGAGGCTATGATCCACGACACAGAGAACCTTCATACTGGTAATTATTTGATTTGCTATCAACTCGTAATTATTTCAGATATTATATAGACAGGATTATTTTGCAATTGTTTCTCAAAGCCATGTCATGTCAGACATATTCACTTTGACAACTAAAGAACACCCTAAGAGGATCTTTATTTTGGAAGACAAAAAGTACTAAAAAATGTAACATCTTTAGAGATTGTTATGCTTGTATTTGTTTCTTATCAGAACCTCAACCATTAATTTTTTTGTCAGTCGTTGAGTACCTTTTATATTTTCTCACACTTAAGTAGAGTCAGATCTTTGTGACATTTTTTTTTTCTTTATACGTGATAAATTACATATTTCGTCCATCCAACAGCAATGCAGACCGAGTAAGTTGGTGGGAGTTAATGGTGCTTGCTTCACATGCACACCCTTCAGTTTCTACTATGGCCAAAACCCTTCTTTCTGGTGCCAATATTGTCTATAATGGAAATCCATTAAACGATCTCTCCCTGACAGCTTTCCTAGACAAATTCATGGAGAAGAAACCCAAACAAAGCACATGGCATGGTGGTTCTCAGATTGAACCTGCAAAGCAGGTAAAATTGTAGACTTTTCAATCTCATAATGCACCATCTCTTATCTGGCCTTCTGATTCAGCCTGTTAATGTGTTTCTTTATTTTGCAGATGGATGTTAACAACCAATTGATTGGGGCAGAAATTCTTTCACTAGGTGAGGCAGATGTTGCCCCCGAGGATCTTGTCTTCCACAAGTTCTACACAAACAAAATGAACTCCACTACTAAATTGAAGAAAAAGAAAAAGAAGTCGGCTGATGAGGAGGCAGCTGAGGAGCTGTTTGATATTGATGATGGTGAGGTTGATGGTGGGGATGAGAGTGATGATGAAGAGATAGAGAATCTGTTGGATTCTACTGATCCATCGTTAGGACCGGACAGTGACTATGATTATGATGATTTGGATGAAGTTGCCGGTGAGGAAGATGAGGACTTGATTGGTGATGTTAGTGATACTGAGATGGATATGATGGATATACCCTCTGATATCGGAGAGGAAGAGGCTGATGCTCCAATTGATGATGTTGCCAGTGATGATGATGACGAAGATGATGTCGTTGATATTCAGGTTGGAGATGTTGATGATGGCTCTGATGATGGGGAGGAAGTTGGCAGAAGAAAACGTAAACATAAAAGTGGTAGTAAGAAAGGTGTATCTCCATTTGCAAGTTATGAAGAGTTTGAGCATCTAATGGAAGATGATGGCCACATTGAGAAGAAAGCTTCCCCTAAGAAAAACAAGTCAAACAAATCTAAGAAAAGAAAAAAGTAATCAGCTGAATTGCCAGATTGAGTTTTGACAATGCATCATCATTTTTCGTAACAGTTTTGAGAAAATCAATATCAGGCAATGTTATTGTATTCTATCAGTTTTGATTGCTTCTAGCTAGTATTCATCCTGTGAACGATGTACAATTTAGTCAACCAAGAATCAAATTTAATATATTATTAGTTTCAAATATGCCATGAGGTTTTGTTATCTATCAGGTGACATTTGATTGCATAAATATCTTTAGATTTAGTTAAGTTTTAAATTTTGATAAAAATGATAATAAATATGAAGAAATTATCTGACACCTATAAGAGAAAAAAAAAAAGATATAAAAGGATCACCATTAATCAAATTTCATTACAGAATTCAAAAGCTCATTACAGCATTAAGACAATTTACATTGCCACCTAATTTTAACCATTAAGAAAAATAACAAATAAAACTACGAACTAAAACAATCATTGGTGCCATGGCTCTTCTTCCTCTACTCAAGCAATAGCAACTTCAACAGTTTTGGATTTTGGAGGAGGAGGGTGCTTCCCAACAGCTACAGTCAGAACCCCATTTTCGCATTTAGCTGTAATTGCCGACACATTGGCATTCTCAGGTAAACGGAACTTCCTCTGCAAATTCTGTGGCCCTCTCCTCTCCAGCCTAAGATACTTGCACCCTTCATCTTCTCCATCATGTCGTTTCCTCTTCCCACTGCTTCGTATTACAAGTGTGTTCTCATCTTCAACTGTCACCTGCAAGCAAAGCGCATCCACATTTCAATGCAACAACATCACACCTTAACACAACCACTAACTGACTATACATACTTACACAATAGAAAGGAAGAATATTGGGATGAGACATCATATCGTGTATGTGGATAACTATGTACCTGAATTTCAGACTTGGAGAGACCAGGAACATCCATGAAGAATATAAATTCCTTGGGAGTGTCCAAAATGTCCACTGGAATGATGCTAGAAACTCCTCTGGTCTCATGGTGGTCATGAGCACGAGACGAAGGAAACATGAACTTTTCCATTGTTTCAGGAATATTGAAGAGGTTGTTCACTGCAGCAGCCAAATCAACGTTTAACGAATCACCAAATCTGCTCATCTTCAATTCTCACACACCAATGCAGTCCACAAAAAAATCTGAGATTCTGAATTCACCACCCAAAAGAACTAAACTTCAGCTAAAGAACACTTGGCATACCAGAACATCTCAAAACCCAGAAAGCATATAAAGGCAAAGAGATAAAAACACCCTGAGATTTACCAACCTATGTTTGTGCGAACCCAGAATCCAGCAGGTAAAAAAAGAGACTTTATGTTCACATAATGTTAGTTAAGTGATGCTTGTTTGTGCAAGAGTTATGTGGAAAATATAAATAGAAGAAGTTTGTGAAGAGTGAAGAAAGTTCGAGAGTGATTGTCCACAGGGTCTGGAAACATCTTTTTGCTTAAACGTGGTATTCTCTGGATTGTTGTGGGAAGTGGAGGCCCATTCTTCTCATGTACGTGTCGGAATCATATACTAATTCTCCATGCACTTTATTTTCAAAAGTATTTTAATAAGATGTTCAAAGTTTCATAATTTCATTTTTCCTTTTCTATAGTTACAAATTTTGTCTCTGTTATGAATAATTTTATTTTTTACTTTTATTTCCTTATAAACAAATTGTAAAATAGGAATAGAGATTATAATCAAGTGAATAAAACAATAAGAAATTATTACCTTAACCCTAAAAAAATATCAAAATTCAAATAAATGCAAATATAAGAACTAATACAAAATTATAATCTTCAAAGTTTAAATGATTGAGTAAAAGTTGTTAAAACGAAAGTCAATTCTCTTTAATTTGATACAACATTTCATTACATTTACCTTTGTAGCGTTGATTTTATAAATCTATATTTTAATAAATTAATATTATTTTTAAAATATTAATATTATTTTAAAAATAAAACAATCCATAATTATATTATTAGATCCTTCTTAAATCTATTTAAACTAACCAAGAGTATATAAAAAAGTATGATTTAATACAGTTTATTAATTCCCTTTATTTAAAGCATACTTTTTTCTCAAAAAATAAAAATTATAAGCAAAAGTACTTGTCCAATTAACTTATCTAGGTTATAAATTCTGTATACTATCAATGGTTATAAACAATCTGCACATATAAATAATCTGCATGATGGTTTCATACACATATGGAGTCAAGGCCCAAAATATTGGGCCTTTGAATCTGTCATTGCACAATTGATGAAATATGACATTATACATTATTGACTCACCAATTATTTCTCCAAATACAAAACTAGCTTCAAATGTCATTCACAAATTATACTTACATTATTGATATTAAACCATTTTTTTGCTTCAATATTAAATTAATCTTAAAATGTGGGTAATAGTTTAATTTTGAATGGAAATAATATATATAAATGAATAAATAAATAAATAAAGAAGTTTTGAGTGCTTCTAATCTTTGTCATTAATTAATCCCTTAACTCTATCACCTCACTTTTCAGAATTCATATTTAATGTTTTATTATGCTCTATAATATAAAACATGTTTTAAAATAAATCATTAATTTTTTATAAAATATTTTATAATTTAAATTAAATATATTTTGGCTTTATACTTTACATCAAATTAATTTCAATCCTTACATATACCACAGCTTATATTTCTCCATCTTTTAGTTTTTATGAGATAAAATAAATTTGTTTCCTTATTTATTACTACAGTACTACAAAACATTATAAATATGTGTTTTTTTTAATAATTACGAGAAGATATTTAATGTTGATGGTGCACCATTGGAGGGATATTTAATGTTGAGGGTGAGCTTTGGAAACAACAAAGGAAAAGTGCAAGCTTTAAAAATTTGTATACAGAAATTTGAAGGATTTCAAAATCAAAGTTTTCTGGCAGTGTGCCTTAAAACTCTGAACCATTCTTGGTCAGAAAATTTTGTTTGATTTTATGAAGTATTAGAGGCTGCAATTGATGATAGAAGTGTCAATTTCCAGGAAAAATAGATGAGAATGACTTTAGACTCAAATTTATTGATGATTTCACGATGAAGTTCAAACCTATGTTGTTGATCACTCTTTTGATAAAACAGATTAAGGATGATATATTAACAAGATTCATAGAACAAGGATAAAATAATTCAAAAGTTTGACAGAGAATTGAGAGAAGGAAAAGCACATCTTCTTGGTCAACGTGACAAATAGGAATCATTCAACCCAAATGGTAGAACAATTTTCAAGGATTTCCATTGTTTTTTTCACCACATTATGTGGCTGATAATGACATGGGTTTTTGTGGAATAAACACGCCAAAGCAAGCAGTGACAAAGTTTGGGGAAAAATTTGGAGGGATTAAAATAGTTAAGAATATAATCTTTAATTTACTGAAAAAAATCAAGTGATAAAAATTAGCCATAAAAAACACAGAAAAATCTCCTAGATGCATGCCTGTTGTTGATTGCATGAACATATCAGGGAGAGGAAGATTTGCCACTACAATATATCCATCAGAATAATTACCCAGAAAGTGTTTGATGTTTTGTCTACTGATTAGTTCCCAAACAGCATATATGCTCTGCTTAACTTCCTAAGCAACTTAAATTATATGCTCTAGTCAATAATAGTTGAACTAACATGACTTGTGTATATTTTATATTTTCATGGCACATGGTCTATAACTAGCATACCTAGATGTGATCAACACATGTTTTATTTTTATTATTTCACCACAGCATAGAAAATATAAATAGAAGGATTAACTTCTATGATCAAATTAAATAAAAAATTTAAATAACCTCTGCACACTGTAATAAAGAAAAGAAACAAAAGTTGAGTTATCCTCAATGAAGAGGATAATACAACAAAAGGAACATAAACATGCACGCCTTCTTGTTGTTGAATGTATTCGAGTACAAACAAGGATTGTGCCTCTTAATTTTGGTTATGGTACATGTAAAACAAAATCATTACCTAAGTGTTTGATATATGTCTGCTAATTAGTTCTCAAACAGCATTTATTCTCTGTTTCTTAAGCTGTTTAACGCGCTCTGTTAAGTTCTGGTTGAACTGACAATGATTTTGACATTTTGTATGTGGCATAATTTGGTGGCACATGATTTAGACTTTGCAAATCCAAATGAGATCTTCAAATTTAATGCATTTCTTATTATAGAAGATGGTCCAGGCCCCTATAACTAATCTTGTCTTGGATACCATCCCAGTGTTCTGAAGCACATGATGAGTTAATAAATATTTTATTCAAAGATTTGGGACCATTTTTTATATTAAATCATCATATTAGGGGAGGAGGGGACTAATTATCTTGGAAGATTTTTCGGATATATGCATGAATTACTACAAACAACATTATTAGGAGGCAAATTATAAACAAAACATGTGCACATTTTTTAAGGCCTTCTCTTTAGATTCTCATATATGTATCCAGGATCAAACTACAAGTTGAAAAATTTCAGTGTTTCTCTGTTTGTATCTATCTGAGTTTCAAACATTTAGGCTTTATCAGTAATGAAGCTTTGTGACCTTGATGATATTCTATTACTAGATTGGCCTAACAAATAGCCTATGGTAAAAACAAATATGATTCTAATGATTAACATGGAACATTTTAAATTGCTAGTGCAATCATCACCTTGTGCAAAACAGAAAAAACATGGTGTCCGTTCAAATAAAAACGTTGGATGTAAAGGCTAGGCTTGAATTGAAGGAGGTGTCAGCAACAAGAAGCACCAACTTAATGAGTGATAGGGGCTATTGGACCACTGTGTTGTATGTGAAATATACATGAATTCGGCTTCTGTTACGGCTCTTGTGATCCATGATTTACACTTGTGTTGGACCACAAACAGTACTCACATATGACCCCATGACACACCCTAATTTATGTTTCCTCTTCAGAAACTCTGCATATGCAAATGTTTCATTGTTTTCATGAATGAGGTATGCACTAAAATTTTAATTAATGTTCGTAAGTACACATTAATTGGTAGAATTTGAATTGCAGTGAACTCACATGAATAGCACAAGTTTTGGTATACAAAATTCTTCTGTATACAAGATAAGTTGTTAACTGTTGTTAAGAAATTTCATGAATTGTCCTTGAAGTTGAAGTTTGAAGAAAAATGGACAAAGTATATAATTGGAGTTTTCAGTGCTCTGTTAGATGAGGTTCCTAGGCCCCATATGCATTTAGAACCTTGCTAATGGTACCTCTGTACCAAAGAAAGCTAGTAAAGTTTATGCATAAAAAGGACAAGGATGTGGGCACCAACACTTTGTAGTTTGTGAGGGGTAGATGAATTTGCCTAATTTGAGTGCATTTCACTGATGGGATCCTTGCTGGCTTGCTAACCAACCAACACCTTAATTTGTTGTTGTTTATGATGCCATGCAATGATTCTATTAGCAAACAAAAACAAGAAAACCAACATATATACCTTATTTTTCTCTTCAAATCCAGTACGTAATCACACTCATTTTGTTCCTTGGTGTTCTTTTTTATTCTTCTTTTATCATAATAAGGAAACTCCTTTTGTTGTAATATACTTCCAAGACTTTTAGAACCAGAACCAAAACAAAATATCAGGTCCAACCACCTAAAAGAATTTTTTATACCCTACAAATATCCTTATTATTATCTCTTTTCATATTTGTAATACAATAAGAAAGATTCCTATATTGTAAGGTTATAGTGCCATGACTTTGTAGGCTGCTTTACAACAAATGGTGGTTGATATATACTTGATTGCATACCCTAATAATAATATATAATATTAAATATAAAAATGATATAGGACGAACTTGAATTTGTTAAATCTAAGGGGAAGTTTTGTTGGAAAAATAAACGTAACAACTTTCATGATATTTCATAGTTTTGTTAGTATTATATTCTTAATTCTTAAGTTTCTTTGAAAGTCACTGAGAATTGGAGGTTTATTTTTCATGTACACAACCCTTTGAAATTGAACTTATTATAACCCCCTAATCCATGTAGTAAACATGATACATCAACAGTTTTGAACAGCTACATCATTTAGAAGTTACTACTAAAATATTTATCAGATTGAAACGTAGTAAAATAATAATAAAATTTTAGGCAGTTTTATTCTTATAAAATAAAGAACATGATTATACACTATGAACTACATTATATGTTCATAATTTTCATCTAATTGTATTTTTTTAAGTTTACAAAGTAATAAAACTCAACCATCTGTCACATGAAATAAACTATGAACATCACAGAAGATTATCATAAACTGTGAACATAAACATATAGTAGGTGGAGGTCCATAGAATAGTCTCTCTTATTAAAAAATGGTGAGGAGAGGAAAAGTGAAAAATGTGATGGTCCAGAAAAAAAGAGGGCATGCATGTAAAAGGGGAAGAGGGAAAGGAATTTGTCCTTTTGCAAAGGTTGCAAATCCCAAACACCTCACTAGAGGCCAAACAAAAGGGCAACTGGTTTTTCCAATTCTCCACCAAATATCTCATTCTTAGCTGTGTCCTAAACAGTGGGCCTTGCACGTGTTTAAACCCTCTTCATCCCATCATTCTCCATACCCTTCCCTTCCCTCCCCTCCCCTCCACTCAATCCCCTTTATAACTGAACCTTCCCTCACACCTTCCCATCACTCATCACACCAGCATACCTCTCCCTCTCTCTTTTCATCTCATTGAGGCATTCATCAAACACCTTTCCAAGATGGCCAAAGTTGGAAAACTAACAAAGCTCAAGTCAGCAATCAAGAGATGGCCCTCATTGACGAAGCTCAGCCGCAGCAACAGCTCTGTCTCTTCCAACAAAGGAGCCACCGGAGCATCCTCTTCATCCAAGGAACATGCACATGAACAAGAACTTCATGCTGTTTATGTTGGCAAATCTAGGAGACGCTACCTGGTAAACTCCGAAGTAATCGACCACCCTGTGTTTCAGGAGCTGGTGGATAGGTCTTCATCTCATGATGATGGGGTGGTGGTGCCCTGTGAGGTTGTGCTGTTTGAGCACTTGCTGTGGATGCTTGAAAGCGAAGAGACCCAGTTGGGGTCCATGGATGAGCTGGTTGAGTTCTACTCTTGTGCATGCTGATCCACATGATGGTATCCATCCACGCTGACACACCTAGTAATAGTTGACTTTGATTGTTTCTCATGTGGTCGCGCAAAAAACCAAAACCATTGGCCATGATTTTGTGAATTCAGATTGATTCAATGTTATATATATATAAAATTTGTATTGTTGATGTAAAGTGGGCATGTAGTTGACATGAATGTGCTATTCATGTTGCTGTGACTTTCCTTGAGATGAATGAATCTTATTCCAATTCAAATCACCTGTCTCTTTTCTTGTTTCGTTATTTGAAAATGACACTGGATTGAAAGAAAAAATGGGAACAAATAAAGTTTTTTTTATCATTGAGGGATTATCAGTGCAACCCCATTTGATGGATTGATAGTTCTTTGTCAAACTAATTCTTAAAATTATTTTTACTTGTATTGAATCAAGCCAAAACTTTGATAATGTACAGTAATTAACTAGAACAATCCATAACATAAAAATAAAAAATATGTATTGATAATGGGTATTTAAACTTAATTTTCTGTTTATCTTAAGTTTTTTTTAGTTAAATAAAATTATTTATTAAAAAATATAAGACATAATCAATATCTTATATTTAATTATGTACAAAAATCTACATAAACACCTATGAAACTATTAGTAAATATATTTTCAATTAATCATTTGCTCACAGCTTAATAATTTTTATTTTCATGACTCTTGTTAGTTGACACATTTGATGATGTGATTAGGCAAAACAAAGATAAGGGATGGTATGAAATATCATGATCATATCAGAAAAAATAATTCAATTTTATTTTAAGTTCTGTACATACATAAAAATATTTTTTCTAGTATGTTCTGGGATACACTATTTTATTTCTAACATTATATTTTATATTTTGTATTTTAGGTTTTAGGTTTTAGGTTTTAGTAATAAAAAATATACTATTAACTATATAAAATAATTTATTTTAATATTTTTTTATATCTTAAAAACTTAGTTCAACTCATAATCAACTTGTTTAAGTAGCAGACTTACCAAAACTTGAATTGGTAATACAAATTGAACTCATTATGAAATTAGTTCAATCCCACCTAATAAAAAATGCCTTGACTCTATAATAATGAGTGAATCCAAATGGACCGCTATAAACCTAAATTGACAGGTCTAACTTATGTGACAGAAACCTTGTTGCTGACATCTGAATCCCATGTCTAAGATTGGTGAGGGAATGCGGCAATGTGATAAAGACATTTTATTGGTTGGCTTTTGGCACCAATAAGCTGAGAGTTAACACCTAGCTAGCTAGTGCTTGTTGCTTGGGAGTAAAGACAGATAATTAGACCACTTACTTTTTACTTATGATTATGATTATGATTAATGTTGTTGTTAGTTGAGTAATTGTGATTAATAATTACATATGATACTTGTTTGGATAATGTTAACCCTTTTGAAATTTTATTAAGAGTGACCAAAAAATTTAGTGATCACAGCAAAGTTTTCTGTTTCATATACTGTTGTTCTTTCACTCTCATGCATTTGTACAATATATGATTACTCATGAAGTTGTAATACATTAATATCTTAAACCATATTTATAGTGGTGTTAATCCATGTCAATCCATTCAGTAGAACAGTTATTGCTAGTTTTGATTCTACACACTAAACCAAAGATTTCAACCACTTTTCACCAAGCTGTGATCCAATTCCAAACTACAAAAAAGTGGGAAAGTACATGAGATTTGTGGATGAAAAGAAAAGAAAGAGAGGTGGGGATGAATGAATATATATCTAGGGTGCTTTAGGTACACTCACATTTTCATTATACTCATATTGATGATTGCTTAACTAGTTCAAACATTAATGGATGTTCCCAAGATCTGATACATCTAATTGGATCAGCCAAAGAGAGTGATGTTTGACCTTATTTTTTTGTCATCAAATGTATTTGACCATACTTTAAGAATATGATTCAAAGGGTTGAAAAGTCTTGGACATTGAGGACCTGTCTTGAATTCAATTACACATCAAAATTCAGTACTATGAGAACATGGGGATCAGTAATGAACAAGAAAAAATGGAACTATTACAGTAACACGCAAGCATAAGTGCTTTTCATGTTTGTACAGAAGAAAAGTGTTAGATGCGACACTAACTATGATCTATACCGAAATTGCAGGATCTAGTTCTCCCATTTCACTAGGAATTGGTGCTGGATTGGAATGGTAACATTTCTTGGCTTTGTTTTGCAAATCTTTTACTTATAAAATAGAGATGTTCATGTTTTGTGTTTTACATAAGTTTGCTTGGTTAATACTCTAATCTTTTTTCTTTTTTGTCCATGTGATTCCAAATAAAGAGGGTGGCTAAGAAAACTTTAAAATCTTACTACTTTTTATTGTTGTTTTTCTTATGTTTTTCTAAATTTGTTGATTAAAATATCTTATGGGGTTTATTAAAAAGTTGGGAAATTTTAATTTAACTTGTATTATTATTATATTTAAAATTTAAAATTAATCAACATGTATTATTTTTCAATATTTTTCTAAAATAGTATAACATTAAATTAGTCTCCTAATATCAATAAACTAAAAAGGATATTGAATGTAATTAAATTATGTTTTTTTATATTTGTTCAAATTTCATATATATATATATATATATATGTATATATATATATATATATATATATATATATATATATTTATTTTGATCACAACTGTGAGTGCAGTAAAGCAAGCCTGTCTGACTCATTGACAGATAAGGCTAAAGAAACACCACAATTTATTTATTTTTTCTTTAGTTTTTTGCATTTCCTTTTTATTATTTCATGCCTATAACTATATATATGTATATATAATATAATATAAATGTAAATTTTTATTGAAAAAAGTAAAATTTGAAAAATTATTTAAAAAAAATGAACAGATGACGGTTGCATGTCCACCGTTTGAATTTAGAAGTGATGTGATATTAGAGAATTGTAAAATAAAATATATAGTATTTCAATTTAAAATGATAATAAAATATCCATCATCCCAATTCCCATGCACTGAAAAGTTAAAATAAAAAATAAAGAAAAGATGTGTTCATCAACGTCTCTTTCTTTAATTGGTGTGGTGGGATGTTTTAAAGATAAAAAAAAAAATGCATCAGAGTCGAGGCCCACAGCAGACATAGGTGGAGTGACATAAAATATGATAAGAGATTTGATTTTACTTGTTGTGTTTGTAGGGCATGTATCAAATTTGAACACCATCGTTGTCACAACTTCATATGCTATAGATATACATTGCTTGGTTATGCAACAAAAAATATGGATATTGCTTCCTTTAAAATTAACAAGAACACAAAAAAATGGTTTTTTTTTTTTTATGCATATCATGTGTTCAATTACGTATTCTTTTGTTTTTGTATCACCCTAGGAAGAACCATCAACCATGAAATATGACCAAATGCTTAGAAGAAGATGTTGAATGAGTACAAAACATTAAGTGGTAAGTGCTAGCTGTTTATAGGTGTTGAAACCAAACATTATGGCCCAAAATAGTAACTATCACTTTCTTGTTATTATATACATTTTTTAAGGACCAATTTCAGGCTTCTTTTTCTCTTTTGTGATTCTTTATTTAAAAGAAAATGCATTTTTAATGGATAAGTTGTTTGCTATCAAAACTTTAATTTCTCAAGTGTACATAAAATTCGCAGGGCCAGGAAAAAGAGTAGTGTGCACTTCCAATCCCATAATAGTTAATATTATGTTATATTTATGATTTATCTTTCACTCCTAATTTATTTTATTACTTTCTTCTTTATTTTTTAATTTCTCTCCACAACTCTATAGCCCAAATAAAATAATTAAAATATCTTTTGATAGTTTTTATTTCATATCCTAATCCATTTTCTATTTTTTTTAAGTTTTACATCTCCATAGATTTACATATTTGATTTTTTTATTATCATCTTCATTTAAGAATGTTTTTAACACTTATAAGTAAATAATAATTAATATTATTATTTATTACATGTTTTTACACTAAAATTATATATCAAGATCAAGATTACTTGGTCCAAAATAGTTTTATAAAAATTAAATTGAGATTTCAAACACTCAATCTGAAAATGCATTTTAAATTAAGCGTTTCAAAATTGTGTTTCTGAAAAAATCAATTCATTTTTTTTTCAGAAAATGAGTTTCGAAATATATTTCTCCAAACATGTATTATGAATTAGTGGGTTTCAAAATACACTTTTAAAATGTATAATTCGGAAGTTTATTTTGCACCCACCAATCCATACAACATTTTTAGAAAATTAATTCTAAAAATATATTCTATAACTCACGTTCTGAACATGTTTCTATAAATATTTTTTTTAATTATATTCCCAATCCTCGAAATGTATTTTCAACCAAAAATTTTATTATACAAATATTATACGTTGTAAAAAATTGGTATAAAATAAAAATAATTAAAAATTTTAACCAGTTTATTATAATTTTTGAAATAATAGAAGAATTATAATTCTTGAAATAATAGAAGAATGATGAATGAAAATGCTTAAAAAATTTAAAAATCAGATATTTAAATATTTAAAAACAAAAAATAAACCTTTATGATAATAAAGATAAATATAATGAAAAAATAAAATATAATTTAATTATAAAAATACACAAAGAACTATGAGTTGCCTTTAATTTTGTTTATTTGGTGAAAATGCAACACTTCTAAGTTGTTATCTTATATATTCTGTAGGAATATTGAAAATTCATTAGAATGTATTTGTTTATTGTTTTAAAAATATTTTTAAAAATTTTAAAAATTATTTGGTAATATATTTTAGTAAAACAGTTTTAAAAATTGTTCTTATTTTTGCTTTTTTAAAAACTAAAACTAAAAATATGTTTGTTTGTTGTTTAAACACCATTTTTTATTTTTTTGTTTTTTGAAAACTAAAAAATTATTTGATAATTATTTTATTAAAATACTTTTTTTTATTTAAAAAAATATATTTTATTTGTAGTTTTTATTTTCATTAATATTTTTATTATTAGTTCACATCATAAAAATAATAAATAATTTTTTAGTTTTCGTGATTTTGTTGTTGTTGTAGGTATCTTCATCCTTCGATTTAAACCACTTTTAAACTGAAGTTATCAAAAATTTTCAATTTATTTTTAAAAGTAATTTTTTAAAATTAATCTTTATAATTATTTTTAAATTTTTTAAAATAAAACTAAATTAACCAAGCTCAATAAAACATGTTTTTTATTTTTAGTTTTCTGTTTGATTTTCACATCTTCTTACTAATAATTATATTGATGATTTTTCATAATTGTTATGTCATCTTCTTGGTCATTAAAAATAAAATTAAATGAAACATTTGAAAGAAAAATAAAAAGTAACTAATATAAAAACTTACTTTAAAAAAGTAGGACTTATTTATTAATAAAGAAAATAGTAAAATATATATATATATATATATATATATATATATTTGTATTAATTATATATATATATATATATATATTAATCATATATGAGTAAAAAAATTCAAAATAATTTCTCTTTCCAAAACAAATATATAAGTAATTTTATAACTATATAATTATTCAATTTATTTATTTATTTATTATTTTCGAAATGATGATTGTTTTTAATATTAATTCCTCTTCAAATGAAATAAACAAAATTTCCACTTTATTTATTTTAATATTTTCTCAAACTTTTTTTTTAAATCAAACATAGACTGATTTGAAAAAAAAAAAGAATGAAAGTACCTTATAATATAAAATCATTTATTTGACACTTGAATAGTCAAAATATGAGTGAATAATATTTTATTTTTTACTATTATGCATGCAAACTGATACAACTCAGTTATAATTGTAAGATAATTATTTTAACTTTCATAAGGTATATAACAAAATAAATGTTACCTAATTATAGAAAACAAATGTTATATTATCGAAGGAAATTTTTATTATTTCAATATGTAATTACATCATTTTTATATTTGAAAATATTAATTTCTTTCAAATTTTTTTTGTTAATTTTTTCATCTCAATTTCTAATTGTTATATTGTTAAATTGATTTCATTTAATGTTTTAGAATAGCATTTCATTTTTATTATTTATTTACTTGAATTATTATTGTCTTTATATTATTTTTAAATTTTATTTTCTTATTTTATTTCAAAATTGGAAATTAAAAAAATTATTTTTTATATTTTAGCCCTACTATTATTAAATTAATTATTTTTAATTACATTACCACAATTGTAATATCATTTTCTTAAGTACTCATACATAATTCATGAAATATTTGTTAATTTTTATGTATATGTCATTTATCCTATTTTTTAATGGTTTAATAATATTATTATACACATATTTATGTCATGAACATGAGAAAACATGTCATGAACGTTGTTCTATGGTAACCTTCAAGCCATGTGCCATTGATAATATTGTCATCATCCTATATTTCACAATGTGACCTGACACCAAGTTGAACTTGTAGAATCTGCACAAAATAGCTAGCACCATCCTCATCTGTAGATATGCAGAGTCCTTGCCAAGGCATATCCTAGGACCTGCCTATAAGCCCAAAGGAAAATAATAAAACTAAGGTGTTCTGCACATTTTCATTCAAATTTGCATTGTCAACTTTGAATTGTTATCTCATACTCTAGATTCCAAAGAACATCAAATTACCTGAAAAGCAGTGAATTTGAATGGAGATTCATTTTTGAGAACACCATCTTTGAACCATCTCTCAGGGACAAATGAAGGTGCATCAGGACCCCAATTATACTCCATCCTTCCCATAGAGTATGGCACATAAGTGACCATACCCCCTGCCTTTACTTTGGTTCCATCTGGCAATACATCATCCTCTAATATGCCCTTCGGATCCTACAATTCAACATTTACATCACAAAACTAGTTCACAGATCCATGTTAAATTTAAAGCAACCACTTAGAGAACCTCTTCTTAGAAGTACATGAAAGTTCTTCGCTTATAATTAAACTAAGAGTAAAATGTGTTCTGTTAACAGGTTTCTTAATTTTCAGAGCTTGGTTTTTGTTAATATCTTAGGTCTCATGCAGAGAGCAAAATTAGTTAATTAAAACGTAAAAGGATCAAGATCAGTGCTTTTCAAAATATAGAGACTAAAATTATCTCAACTTTTTATAGAATTTTCTTAACAAAACCCAAATGAATGTAGGAAAATGCATACCTGAGGAACTGCTGGATACAATCTTAGGGTCTCCGTTATGACAGCATGCAGATAGTGCAATCTCTCTAGTGAATCTTTATTCAATAACCTTGAAAATTGCTCTACTCTTTGATTGAATGATTCAGAGTCTTCTTTGTCACATTGAGGCAAGGAAATGTTCTCTTCTTTTGCACTATTCTCCTCAAAATTTTTCAGCTCCAGGTAAAGTTTGTCAGCAACATGAGCATGTGTCATTACCATGTATATGGCCCATGATAGGGTCGTTGCAGTTGTGTCTCGACCAGCAATCACAAAGTTCAACACAATATCTCTCAAACTCTTGTCTGTTGCATTGCTTTCTCCTAGTTCTATGAATCTTGATAATATATCATGCTTCATCTGCTTTTTAACATGGTTGATAAATCAATATAAGTTTGATCTTTACTATTTTGTTAGGATATAAAACTACCTGATTTTGTTGCCCACTTTTTTTGACATTTTCTATCTCTGCCTTCCTTTTCCGAATTACTGAGTAGGTGAAGTCATCAACGACTTTGATACTCTTCTCAAGTTGTGCTTCGGAGCCTATACTTAGCATTTTCTTAATCTTCCAAAGTGGATCAATGAAGCGAAGTGTTACTATGATATTTGCAGTGTCAAATGCATGAGCAAAACTATTCTTTGGTAAATTGGAAGACAGTGTTCCAATTTCCACTCCAAATCCAACTTTACATATGGAGTCCAAAGTCATTCTCATTAACAGTTCCTGGAAATTAACATTTCAACCATCATCAATTGCAAACTCCACCACTTTTAAAGTTATAAAAATAGAATTTAAATGTGAAAACATGAAGAATGTTTGTAGCACCTGCATGTCTATTTCTTGGTTAAGTATAGATACTTGACTGAGAATGGCTGAAAGTTTCAAGGCATACTCCTTGAAAACTTTGGTGCTAAATTCCCTTAAATTTCTGGATGCAAACTCTAAGCTTGCAGTTTTCCTTTGTTTCTTCCAAGGCTCACCATCAACATTAAATATCCCATCTCCAAGCAGCACTTCCATGTATGAATGGTACACTTCACCCTGCAATTAGAATCACAATCTTTTCCATCAAAAGGTTTCAATTTCTAAACTGTTAAGAGTAAAAACTTTTTAAACACAGTCGAATAATTAAAAGCTTATTCTTAATATGACTTCTAAGATAATTATTGTAAGATTTAAAAGAAACTTACCATGCATAAAAGGTTGTGATCATTGTATGCACTATTTATAAACAAATAAAAGCTTAAATATGATTCAAACATGATGAGACACCATATGGTTCAATATTGAAACTAGAAATAAGGTGATGTAGATTACCTTTGGATAATTATTGAAGTTGGTCTTAAGTACATGTTCTACATTTGCAGGATCAGCAATGTAAGTGTAAGTTGTGAAAGGCATAGGAACCACGACAGTTTTTGACTCGGACAAATAATTGACGAGCCAATCATGCATCCTGTCATAGTTCATCAATTGTTCGATGGCAGCTCCAAAAAAGGGCCAAGTTTTGGGACCTTTCTTGTTTCTTTGACTCCATCTATGTATGAACATCCATGACACAACCATGCATACCAGTAGTACTAACCCTCCCATGGTTCATAGGTCCCTAAAGGGAGCAACTAATGCGAGGTTCCTCTCACACCTTGTTTTCAAGACAAGAAAAAGAACTGCATAAGAAAATATAACATGTCACAAAAGATTCATGTTTTTTGTTTTTGACAAGCACAAAAGGTGCATGCTTTAGTGATTGGTTGATGTTTGTCTTTACAACAATTAAGAGGGAACATAGGTAGTTAAAATATAGGTATCTAACTGGTTTATTTATATATGTTTTTAGTTATGTGTTAGAAACTTTGTCACATTCTTTTAATGCTTATGGTTTCATTTGTTTTGTGCCATTGACCTAAACTTCGTTGAAAAAGTCAAAGGCTTGTGGAGGGTAACTGATCTTCATTGATTCTTTCTCTTTGGGAAGAGTTAAATTTTAAAAAAGTAAAATAATGTGACAAACTTGTGTGCAAAAACTTGAATTATTTATGAAAAAGCTTTTAATCAAATCAAAGATTTTTTTTTATTTATTTTACATTCTCTCTATAAAAATTGTTTTTTATATAATCGGTTTAAAACTTGTCTGATGATAGTATAAATTTTATTAAATTATAATTTTAGTCTCCTTTTTTTTTCAAAATTCTATAGTTTCTAATTTTTTAAAAAACAGTAATTTTATTAAAATTTGCAATAGTACATATTTTTCATTTTTTTTATTATTCAATTAAACTATACGTCTAACATTTTCATTTTAGGTACCATCAACAAATGATGTAGTTAATCAAAATATAAAAATTAAAATATCTAAAATATGTGAAATTAAGAATAAAACCAAAATTACAGATTTTCTATAGTGTATAAACTAAAATCATAAAAAAAAAAAGACAGAGACAAAAACTACATATGAAACATTATTATAATCTAATACTAAAATTGTTACACGCATTGCAATGTTACATAATGATTGAACTCTTTCTTTATCACTTACTGTATTACAAGATTTTAGGTTGTAAAGCTGGGCCGCAAGCTAAAGAAGCCCAAAAAAGAAGGCCCATTTACTGATAAGCCTGATGGTTGAGGCTGTCGACACTGTTGGTGGTGGTGGCCGTGACACACACAGAGTGGGAGATGTCGAGATTGCGAAGACTGATACAAGCGTCAGTTGATGCCACCAGGAGAGGTTCTATTTTTTTTTTTTTTAATCTTCAATTCATTCTCTCTTATTTAAAATGTTTTTTCCCTCTAACTCTTGTTGTGTATTGGAACAAAAGCCATATCTGGTAATCTCGACGATTTGATGCCACCACCGGAGAGACCCATATTCAGCTTCAATTCCAAGCACGAGCTAAGCAAGTGGCATTTGTATTCTGATTCCGAATTTGGAGGTGGGGTGCTTATTTTCGTGCCACAACTTGATTGATGCTAGTAAAGTTTGCATTTTTTTTTTTTTTTTAGTTTCATCATTTTAGTTTTCGGGGTTTTTAATGTCTCGTTGTTCCCAGGTTTGTCCTCTGCGTCTCTGCAGATAACTGAGTCGGAGAATGGAGTAACTTGTGGAATCTTCTCCGGGAACCTCTCTCGGGATGTCTCTGAGAACTCTAAATGGAGCATCACTCGGAGTGGCTTCTGTGGAATGCGCTCAAAAAAGGTTGCTTTTTCGAAGACAACTATATTGGATTTAATTAATGTGATTATTGGTGCTTTCTTTTATTTCTTTAATACTAAAGAATTTAACTAGAATTCACTAACAATGTAAATTGTAAAGGGGTTTTGCAGAATCATTCAATTGTAGATATTGTCATCTTTTGAAGTATGATAAGATTGTTCAGTTTTGTATTTTTTTTTTAAATCATATCTAAGATGATTTCTGATTAGTTGATGGTAGAAAAATCTTTACACTGACAGTGTGCAGAAGAGAAATTCTATATTAAATATGTTTTCTTTACCAATTCTTTGTGTCCTTGCAGTTTGATGGCTTTATTGATTTAGATTCATATGATACTATTGCTATGAAACTTAAAGGAGATGGAAGATGTTATATATCTACTGTGAGTGCACTTTTTCATTGCCAATTATGTTATGCTAGGAAATCTGGAGGTTGAGGGCTTAAATTTTCATTTCTGGGGTGGTTTTATGAATATTCATACTGGGATGATTTTGGGACAGATCTACACAGAGAATTGGGTCAATTCACCTGGACAGATGGAAGATAACTCATGGCAAGCTTTTGTTTATGTGCCTGAAGGCAACTGGTACATCACAAAGGTAAGTTCTTTTTGCTTCTCACTGCTTACAACATAACAACTCATGATTGACCAGGCTTTCATTTTGTGTTGTCAAAGCCATCACTTTTTGTGAATGTCTGCTCAAATAACTTTTCTTTGAGTGATTTATACAATGCCCTGATGCTTACAAGATATGACCATTTCTCCTGCCATAGATTATTTTACTAGTTATGCCAAATTAAATGGCAAAAATTAGTGACCTTGATGTGATAGATTTATCTTTGGGAAATTCAGATCAGATGCAATGAAAGATCTTGCACATCAGCACATTGCTCTTGTAGCTTTCCATCTTCTTACTTAGAAGTCTTACTACTGCAATGTTTAAAAGGTCTAGGTGTGCTTATGAACACTATTCCTGGAATAGTGTACTGTTTTGTGCTGATTGTAAATCTCTAGAGCATTAACACAGGATCATACAATTTGTAAGTTGAAAAGTTCTGGTACATCACCGGAACATTAACACAGCATATACAAAGTATAAACACTTCAAAATAGTAGTTGTTTGTGTCATAAAAATGTCAGACTCGTGCATATGTTAGACAGTTCATAGGCAGATGTGAATATCACAATAATTAGATGAACTATGACTTGTGATTTTCAAATTTTGCCATACTATTTTCTAGTGGTATCATATTTGTACTTTTTAGGAGGGACCTGTTGTGCGTAAAAAATGTTGATTTTTGTGTCAATCTGCTGCATGACATTGGAATTTCTGTGCTGCTCATATTTGAAATTACTTTTGTCATCGGCTGTCATGGTTGCTACACAATAAAGTATCAAATATCAGCATTGTTATTAGTTAGTGAGTAAAGTAGGTTTTGTTGGGAACCGATCTTATTATTTGAAATTTAGTGGACAACATATGTACATATGATAGAATAAGTTTTGCTAGGTTTTGTACATGGTTGAGCTCTGTCTATATACTAAACATGGATCACTCATAGACATTATCCAAGTCCAATGACATTGTGTGATCTAAGTAGTTGGCCTTGCATAGTGACATAAAGAATTTCTTGTTGTTTTTGCTTAGTTGATTTTCTATATCAACACAAGTGATGGGTATCACATGCATATTAAATTCATTGATTGACCAGATTCCTTTAGCTCGGTATTTACCTACATGGAGAGGGAATGTTATAGATGCAGAATTGGAAATGAATCCATCGCGAATTTTGGGCATGTCTTTATCTGTCAATGCTGAGGGTGGTGTCCCGGGTGCTAGATCTGGACCAGGTGATTTCAGAGTTGAACTTGATTGGATCAAAGCCTTGAGAACAGAATGAAGTATAGGTTACACATAGAAATCAAGAATTTCCTCTTATTTTTGGGTGCTCTTTTTTGTAATAATATGTATCATTTGATGGTTCTTAATGGAAAAATATATTTGGTAGTTTCTCCAGTACCAATACTCTTCTGCATTATTGAATACAGTCGGTCCAATAATGGAAGCACTTGCAAAGAACAGAATTCGTTGTTTTCATCATGTTCATAGCTGAAAAATCAAGACTGATTGTCACCTTGAAAATATGCAGACATAATTGGAGTGTCGGTCATCAATTAATTGAGCTGAATGGATTTGATAGAAATGGGCAATGCTACTAATCTAGTAACAGGGGCCAAATATCATTATCACCTGAAACCAGCAATTATGATCTTCTCATGCTATAGGATATTAGTACCTGTTCTACTCTAGTTTGCCAAACTAACTGATGCCTTTTTCCAAAGAGAGGGCTTCTCATTGTGAAATGGTAGCAATATATTTGCTGATGTATTCTATGAAATAGTTTCTTTACCATTGAATGAAATGCATTCTAGCTCAAAATAGTGCAAGTTTCACTAACTATTCAATGAGTCAGATCTTTTTCATTTTGGTGTTGAAAATCAATTGTCATGTTTTACAATGAAAAACACATTTCAGCTGTTTATTAATTAAAAATTATTTCACTAAATAAATCATACTAAACTTCAAAACAAATGGGCTGAGTCTCATTTTTATATCTTTGTTTTCTTATAAATTTAAGCTAAAAATAGAGATTTGAGAATGTTTTGACAATGATAAAGAATGTATTCATAACATGTCATTGCTTTGAATGGACCTTAATTGGTTTTTTGTGATTAATTGAGCTGTATTAAATTTTTGGATAGAATATCGTGTTTGAATTCTGGAGATGAAGGAATAAAAGATTTTACTAAAGATGATCAATTTAGTATTTCAGAAGATAAGTCCTCAGTCAAGTTGGTAATTTTCGCACTAATGCCACACTAAAGAAAATTATCATGGTTAACTTTGACTTATTATGGAAACTATAATTGGGGCAGAAGATTTATTTTCTGTTTTGAGTATATGCCACTATCTACTCCCCATTGTCTTGACTAAAATTTAAGTTGAACAGTTTATGAGCAGGTGGGATGTGGATATTTTTTGGACTTGTCTGCTGCATTTTTCAGCAGAAAAATGTCTTTTCTCATCAGTGCTATCAGTTACAGATATAGTCAGAAATTACAAGGCTGATACTGTTTAATCTTATTAATATGTTAAATGTATTCTTTGGAAATAAATAGTTTTTAGTATACGTCACTTAACCTAGGCACTTAATCATGTATATATAAATTAATTAGAATAAATATCTGGCCTGTGAGTAAAATAAACATTACAATGACTAAAACACTGGTAATAAATTAGGTTTCTATGACAGGACAGTGCCTATGCTAATCTTATTAACATGTTAAATGCATTATAAATACTTATTTGTAAAATCAAACAATAATAAGAAAATAATTAATCTTTGATTTTTGTATGTAATATACCCTAATGTATATTAATAAAGTAATAAAGAATTTACAAATTAATGTGTGATTCTATAGATATAACTTACTTTATCATAATTTTCTGAAAGTAATGATGAGTTTTAAATAAAATTATTCAATGATGTTATAATAAATTTAGCTTAGAATCAACCCTCCTCTACTTGTACATAAAAGGAAACCAGCCAACACCACTTGTTGCACTTACTGTAAACAAAGGCAAAACTACAACCAAGTTGTGTTTGGCTTTGAACTTTGCAATTGAAAAGGACTTGGTGAATTGATTCTTATAATATTAAAAGTTCATTCTTTGTCACACTAAAGCCACTTGACAGTTAAATTACTATTCTTGATGCAGCAACTTGCTATATTTTATACTGTTCTCTGTTTCCCTTTCTCTGCATCATTATTAACAGATTTGGAAATGTGATTAGAGTTTATGGGGCCACATAAGTAACTAATCAAAAAGGGGTTAACTAGGGTGCATTTATTATGCAAGTTGTGAAAGACTAGTTGCAATTCTCATAAGTGGTCAATGCCATAAGTCTTGTTTGTTGAGTTATTGGTCAAGTTTTGACAGCTGAAAAAAAATGCTTTTTTTTTTTTTAATATTGAACAAAATGGAGTGCCCCCACAAACTTTTGCGCGATTAAGATGACGAGATGGGAATTTTATGCCAGTCGTGGACAATTGTCTTCCAACAACACCAGCACAAAAAGATGTGGTTTTTCTTTTCCTCCCAAAATAAAAACATTAAATGACTAATTTAGCTTTCTAAATAGTATTTCATTATCGTATTAGGTTCTGAGACTAAGAAAAACTTGAATAAGTTTTAAAATTTTAAAGATTTTATTGACATATCAGATTTTTTTTGCATTCTGTTTCTAAACATGTGTTATTAGTATATATTATCACTTTAGTTCCCAAGGTAGTGACTAAAATGAAGAAAAAAAAAGGTTTGTTTTAAAAAAGCTTAGACTTGTGCTAAAACTCTCGAACACCAATTAAAACCAACACAATCTAGGTCATACAAGATTAACAACTAGTTGAGGAAGGTATAAGGCAAAATATATATATATATATATATATATATATATATATATTTTTTTTTTTTTTTTTTTTTCTTATATCTTCCTCAACTAGTTGTTAATATATATATATATATAGAGAGAGAGGTGCTAGACTCTTCATGGAAGCTAAGCCCATGAGTGGTCCACGATTCACATACTAGTTCCAAGACAGTGTCTCCTATCTATCTTCTTTAAGTGCATGCGTGTGATGAAGAATTGAAAATGGTGGTATATCTTGTTTTGAGAATTCAGATCATACATGGTGTAATATTGTGTCATGGTGTGGCACGTGATTTCGAGGGGCTTCTATAGTCCTACTTGACCATGAGGGACCACCACCATACATATATATGTGCATCCAGGACTCTGTCTTTGTCACTGCCATAACTCTTTGTGGGTTCAACACTTTCTGGTCCCACGGGATCATACATCATGTCCACTTCATTACATCGCATGAGATGAAATATGAGTGCCCTATAAGCAAATACTTCAAAATATCAAGTCTTTGTTTCAGTAGAAAACCAACTACTTCTTATTGTCAAAAAAAACGGACCATGGTGGGTTATTTAAGATAAACAAAGCACACATTTTGATGACTACAGTTGTTTTTAGCAAAAGCAAAATTATATAAATAGAATATTTTTGAATAATGACCATTATTAATTAGCATCTGAACGTGAGAGACAATGTGAATATAATCTTCTAAGTAATGAAGAATTCTATTTTTTCAATATAAAAAGGTATTATAATTTAATAAAAATGACATCCTGATCTAGCAAGCATTCAAAAATTAGATGAGATATTTTCCCACAAACATGTATAACCTATTTTCCAAAAGTGAGTGAAACTCCACAAAGACAACACCTTTTCTTCTCTTTGTGTGTTACAAGAGACAATGACAAATGAGAAGAGGCAGCAATCAATTCTCCAAGCTGTTAAACAGCCTGATGAACCAGTGGGACCCACACTTAGATCCAACTTTCATCTCTCTCCTTTTAAAATTCACAAACTCACACGGAAAAGGACTTTCACACATTCACAGAGAAAGAACCTTCTGGACACACCTCCTATGAAATATCTAGCCACCACAGAATCTCAGCCCTACATCACCACCACCCTCAATCCTCATACTACACTCAAAACCCAAATTTACTTTTTTTCTTCTGAATTTTCATTATCCATTTACTAAACTATATTTTTATCAATTAAGCAACTTTACTTTTTATTAGTGTAAAAAGATATTTTAGTAAAAAGATTGAAAATTTAAAAAACAAATATACAATTAAATTTTCATAAAACAATTCACGAAACTAAAAAATTAAAAGGGGATTTCATCATCCATTTTTTTTTCTTTGAAGAATATGATAATCAAATAAAAAAAACTATATATGGTGCAAGGCAGGGTCTGGGGTTCAGGAGTGTTCATGAGGCTCTTTTTCGCTCTTCACCTTTCACTCCACGAAATCAAAAGCAAGTGCTAAGTTCCGTGACCCTGTTCACAAACATGTAGAGCACCAAACCCAAGTTGCGATAAACGTTTTATAATATAGATATAGAACCATGTACTTAAACAATAGTATTAATATTTTTGTGATTGTTTTGGTGTCGCTTTTTTAATGTTATGGTTGTACGGAGTTTGTGTGGTAGTTCAATTCGTCGACAAGAAACCTTGGTTTGATATTTGATTGGTTCTGTGGAGACGTTTAACTTTGGTGTGTTTTAGTTTGTGGAAGTTTGGTTTGTTGTTATTGTTGGTGGTGGTGTTGGGAATAACAATGGCTAACGAAGGAAACAAAAGCAATGACTTCTATACGATCTTGGGGTTGAACAAGGAGTGCACTGAATTGGAGCTAAAGAATGCATATAGGAAACTTGCAAAGGTTAGAATTGAACCGAAGTGCTTCTTTTTCTGTTCTTCTTTTCTCTTCTCTGAACCATGTTTCTTCAAAATTCACCTCTATGAATGATGTTTGGTTTGTTTGCTGGGATAGAAATGGCACCCCGATCGTTGTTCAGCATCTGGGAATTCAGAGTTGGTCGAACAAGCTAAGAAGAAATTCCAGGAAATCGGGGAAGCCTACGCTGGTAATGCCCTTTAGATGTTTCCACGATTGAACATTGACCCATGATTCACATGTTCGTTTTCTCCTCAATATTGAAGAAAAGTTGGAATTTTTATTCTTGTTTGAAAATTCATTTCTGTGCTGTTTATTTGGTGTAAATGGTGTTTTTTCTGTGACAGTTTTATCTGACGCCAACAAAAGGTTAATGTACGACGTTGGAGTCTACGACAGTGATGACGACGAAAACGTAAGTCACACACCTCATCTTTTCTACAGTCACCATGCCCTAAGTTCTGCCCATCCCTATGTTTCATTGCCTTCAAGAGAAGCAACCTTAGTTTGATCCCCTTGTTTGGTTCTATCTTTTTAAATTTTATTATTCTTTGGGTGTAAGGGTAAATTTTCTTTTTTCATGCATTTATATTTTCAATGGGGGTTTCCAAATTGAAATAAGGAGAGTAAATAGTGTAGATTTGAGATTCAATCATCATATATACAGTAAAACTGGTTAGGTTTGTTAATTTTTACATAACTATTTTAGGAGCCACGTATTTTTTTATTAATTTATGTAGTTACATTTTTCTAATAAAAATAGGTGAATGAAGATTAGAAGAGTCGTATGTATTTAAAATATGCATGAGATTTGAAGGGTCTGATTTTCCCTCAACGGTGATGATTCAAGATTGTGTGAATGCATGAGTGTTATTGTTGTCCTGCAGTCTTGTCACGTTTCTGTTTTTTGCACCATCCATGTTTTTTTTTTTTCGTGTGTGAAGGGGCATCTTCTGGGGGAGTAATAAGAATCCGATATGTCCTACAAATACTTGGTTGTATTCATTGAGATTCCCACAAAGGCACAAGCTTTGTTACAAGTCAATTTGTTTGTCACAGATCACATGGGCATGTTGCTTATAGAATTCAGTAAGAGGGGAATAATTCATCGAATAGAGTTTGGTTTTGGGGGAGGGGACTGAATCTTGTTCGTGATCCAATAATTTTGTTGAGCTGATCAAACATAGAATTTCCTTTTGCAGGGCATGGGGGACTTTTTGGACGAAATGTTAACAATGATGAGTCAGACCAAATCAAATGTGAGTGATCATCTAGTTAGTGGCATGTTGGGTCATAAAGCTATGCAATTTCCATGTTTTTGTTTTATATATTTTATTGTTTAGTGGATAAAGCTAGACATAAACATATTGTATGCTTTTGCCAAATACTATGTAGTTTATAGTTTTTCTATTGTCATGAATGGACCATTCCTTTTTCTTTTTCAGACTATGGCCCTAACTGCATATTTTGTTGGTCCAAATGCTATGAAAATCAGAAGGCTATTATTGAAGTTTCTTTTTGAACCAACCAAAAATTAATAATGAAGTTTCCTACTACACACCAAAACAACAAGTAGTTGAAGGCTAGTTAACCAACAACACCTTTTATCATGCTTGCCCTAAATTTGAGTCACCAAAATTTCCAGTAACATGTTTCCCATATTGGTCCTTTAAAACTAAATTAAGTCTTCTCATATTCCTTTTGGAATATTTGTAACTATTGATCTTAGAACTGCATGGGGTTTGCTGGTTTTGAAAAGAACATCCATGGTGTGATAGTGATATTCTGGTAAAAGTTTGAGAAAAAAATTGAAAGCATCTAAAGGTTGGAGCTAGAAGTTTATTCAGGCATTGACAATTGATGAATTTGTGTGAAATAATAGGAAAATGGAGAGGAGAGCTTTGAGGAGTTGCAACAGCTGTTTGAAAACATGTTTCAAGCTGATATTGGATTGGATGGAAGCCCCTCTCTTTCTTCTGCCGATTGCTCTACTTCATCTGCTTACATGACTTACAGTGAAAGTTCTAGTTCAAATAAACGCAATGCCACTGAGATGAAATTTGGGAAGGCAGAGGGTACCAGTTACCAGAATTTCTGTTTTGGGGTTAGTATATACTGCATTGTTCATATTTTCATTTGATACATCATATATCATCCATGGCATACATAATGATTATGAAAAAAATGAAGTGCTAGATGGATAGTACATGGAAATTAAACGCCACAAGACTTTGCATGATCTGTTAGCGGTATTGATTGGTTAAGGGAAAAGATAATTTATTCGTCTTGAATCTTTCATTGGAGTCTTTTAATCAGAGGTGTCTTTTATGTTGTTCATGTCCTCAAGGTCGGTCATGTAAACTATCATTACCAATGAGTGAGGGATACAAAACAATGAAGTATGTGTGAGGTATGTGAAAGTGGTAAGTGATCCCCTCTAGTCTTCTGCTTGTTCAATGTCATCTATCTCAGGTTTTTGGCTGGTAACTGTGAAAGTCCTAATTCATGTGCATCATACATTTTACATGGCATAATATCTCGTGCATTATGATGAGGCTTTAAGTTAACTCAGTATTTTCTTCATCTTGGTGTGAAGACAGGTGAACCTACTCCAAGATATAAAGGAGGAAAACGAGGGAATTCCAGAAGGAGGAGGTAGCAAAAGATATAGAGTATGGCAGAAAGCAAAAAATGTCCTACGCAGGAATTTGCGGAGAGTAATGAACTTGTACAACTCAAAATTTAGGGGGAAAGGTCTAATGAGGAAGAGCATAGTTTATACAAAATTAGTTCTAGGCCATTGTAACTTCCTGCCATGCCATGCAAAAGCTATGGTAGTGGCACCTTCAATCTCTTGTACCCTTGGTTGCAATGAATTGTACACTCATGCTAGTAATTTGAATTGAAATCAGTTGAGGAATCATTTAAACTTCTTCATTTGTGCATATTGCCACTATTTCATTTTCAGATATGTAGTTCAAAAGTGCAATACGAACCATTTGTTTCAGTAATGGCACAGTTCTTGATGTTCACTTGGATTTGAAAGGAATATTCTTCTTGTTTAGCCTAAAGTAGATAAGGGAAAGAAAGGATAAGGAGAGTAACATAACACAACAGAAACTAATTCACTGTGATATTTGACCAATTTTCCAATTCACGGATGTGGAATGCATTCTACTTCCTCACTGGCCTTAGAAGATATTTTGCACAGATCATGAAAACATGTGGAACTAATGAAAAGATGAAACCAAGAAAAGGAAAATGGCAGGTGGTGGACATTAATTCTATAAATGGATTGGCTCTACAGCACGTGGAGAGAGACCCCACATGCTACGGAAACTTGAGCAGGTACAAAAAAATTGTCAATTCAAAATAAAGCAGATATGCAGATATACACTTCCAGTTCACTTTTGGGTTTGAAAGCATTTTGGGACCCCAATTCCTGGCAATTTGTGGGTCCTTGAGGCTCAATAATTGGTTGCCTTTTGTACACAAGTTGTGTAACTTGTGCTTAACATAGAGTATGGATGGGTGTGCATTTGACCAAAGAGACTAAACCATGAAGGGAAAATTCATGTTTGAGATAAGTTATTGAAGAGAACACTACTGTATTTTTTGCTAAAATCAAAGTTGATATGAATTCTTTTCAATAATCCCTGCTAATTTAGAACTGAAATAAAAATAAAAATACTTCCAAATGTGTTTGTTTACACATCTTCGTTAATTCTAAAACAATTTTCAATATGATTTAACAAAACTGTTAAATTGAAATTCAACAGTCTCAAACGAAGATTCGAACACGTCTTAACTCATTTAGTATATGCATAGTTAAAATCTATTTGGAGAAACTTCTTCATAAGTATTTATAAGAAGAAAAAAAAGATTAATTTTGTTAAAACGATATAAACAGACTGTTAAAAAAACAGTAACAAGTGGCCCGAATTATGACAGTGGAACACAGTTTTAAGAAACAGTTGCACGTTATAATAGAGGATCATCGTACGGACATAACCCTTGAGTTGAATGCTAATTACATTTGGTGATGCAAATTGCTTGAAAATTATAGACCCCAGCAAGAGTGGTTGCTATTGCCATTATCCCTTTAAGCCAACTTGTGTGTACTTCTGTTGAATGATTTCTCTTACAAGGTCAAATACAGGTCACCCAGGTTGACACTGAGAGATTCATAGTTTGGTTTCATGGTTGGTGATAATATTAGTATAGAAACCATCTCATGTCATGAGAGTGTCCAATCATAATGATACAATTCTCATTTGCGAGTTATCGATGATTTTGAAGCTTTCATCAATGTATTGCCTTTAGAAAACGTGTTAGTGGATCAAAAAAAAAAAAAGCATGTATATAAATTATTTTTTTATTTGAATTTCTGTATAATGTGAAACTGAAAAAAAAAAAATTGTATGTTAATGTTTTAATAAAATATTATAAAAATAAAACAAAATAATATATTTTATTATTACTTAACTTTCGTAAAATATATATGTTTATAACTGATAAAAATAAATTAATTAATAACATTATATTCATTTTTTTATTAAAAGAAAAAGGGAAAAACGGGCCAGTCCGCCCTGTTTTGACCCGTCCCGCCTTTGGTCCGTCAAAAGTGGCGAGACGGATCGACTCAGTTATAGTCATGACGGGTAGTAGACCTTGGTCCGCTCCGTCAAGGGCGGGTTGACCCACCATAATTTAAAAAAAATATTTTATTTTTTAAAATAAAAAATTTCAATAAATTTAATAATAAAATTATTATTTGTTTGTCAATAATTCAATTTAATAATATAAATCAATACATTGTTTTAAGAAATTATAATTTAAAACAATAATAAAATTTACATAATAATAAATAATAACAAATATATATATATATATATATATATATATATATAACGTTAAAACTTATAAATTTTATATTTTTTATATTAAAAAATTCAAATACTTATATCTTTTTTATTTGATAAAACTTCACATTATTTTTTGTTGAGAAATTCTTACACCTTTAATTCAAGTCATAAGGATAAAAATAATCGAGTGTTTAGGATAAACAAGGAGAACATGAGAGAGAATGTTGTGTTTAAGTAAGGAAAATATTTTTTATAAGAGTGAAACTTTTTTAATTCTCTTTTTAAAATTTTTAACTTTATATATTATCTTTATAATTAATTTTATTACAATAAAAATATTTTTTTATTAATTAAGCAGGTCGCGGGATGGCCTGCCCTGTCCAGTAAATTGGCTCGGTGGGTTCACATGCTTGACGGAATGAGCTAAAGCAAACTAATGGGTTAAAAACATCAACCCATCCCGCCATAATGACGGGCTGGCGGACCGGCCCACTAAACCTCACCCATTTTACTATTGGTAAGAATATCAAATCTTTACAAGCGTAATACTTTTTCATTTATCATATAGTGGCGTTTTCAAACTTTAAGCAGTACAAAAACTTGCAGCCTGTGAACAATTGGCTGAAGCCCACATAATGGACGGTTTGACTTTACCACCGAAGCCTTAAGAAAACCCATTAAAAAATAAATGAAGATTCCTATTTGTAGCACCCTTTTAATCTTCTCATTTTCACCCCACCTCTTCTTTTTATGCAATTCTCACTGTTTTATCCAGTCACAATTGACACTTTAAAAAACCCTTGTCGCAATTTCCAACGTCATTCCTTCCAATTTCATTCTCAAAATGCATAACTTCATTTCATAATTGGTCAACGTAAGATATCTAACGTTGTACACAACACAATTCAATTGTTCTAAAAATAAAAGATAGCAAAATTGTCTAATATTACCAATTACAATAATCAAATATCAGCTTCCACATTAGTAATGTACGAAATTAGGCTATGCAATTAGATGGCTCAGAAGAAACCCGTATTAAGCGAGCTAAGTTTGCACATTAACATATCTGTCAATGATTAATCATTCAATTAATTAATTAATTAAACCTATTAACTCATCCTTCCATTTCACATTATAAGTACCCTCTCAATCTCGACAAACGCATACAAAAACAAAAATTATATTAAAAAATATATATATATATATATAAAAAAAAAAAAACTTTTTCTTTGTTCTTATTGTTGTTGTTCTTTTTCCTTTTTTTTTTTTTTTTCTTCTTCTCTCTGTCGTTTCGTTCCTTCATCTAAGATCTCTGTGTTGTAAGTTGTGACAGGAGGTAAACAACTCGCACGTATTATATTTGTGAGAAAAGAAAAAGATATAACCATGGGTTTTCTTCACAAGCTTTGGGACGAAACCTTGGCGGGTCCCGCACCTGAAACGGGTCTGGGCAAGCTCCGAAAGTTCAACTCCGTCTCCGGCAGCAGTGCCCTCCGCTCCACGGTCGCGGAGGATATCCCGATCAGCCGCAGTATCACCATTGTTCGTACTCAAGCTGCTTTCGGAACCACCACAAACTCTGCTCCTGCTTCTCCTGCTTCTTCTGCGCCTGCCTCCCCTCGCACCCCCTTATCTCGTTCGTAACGTCTCTCTCTCTCTCTCTCTCAATATATACATATTTGTTTCTTCTTGTTTCTATTATTATTAGGGTTTGTTTGCATGAAAGGATCAAACCTAATACATGCAAGATCGTAGGTCTTTTAATCAATTTTTGAACTTTTTTTAAAAATTTGTAGCGGTGACGCCAGGCGGTGATTTCAAGAAGTTCACGAGGAGAAAATCGTCAACAGCGGAGAGTGCTGCAAATAGAAGTTCGACAATTTACGATTGGTTCTCTAATTTCTATTATTGTTTTTAATTTCTACAACATTTCATATCACCCATATGCCCGTTGCATTTACATGCCCATTTTCTTGTGACTAACTTTTCTTCTTGTTGTTTCGTGGTTTGCACTTTGCAGGGTGGTTATGAGTGCTCTGGATCGCTTTTGAGGGGGGAAGTGAGAGATGATTTGCTTTGAAATCGATTGGAATATCAATCCGCGGAGACAGAGAGGGATTATGTTTTCTCTACACACGACAAATTGATTCCAATTTCCAGAGGGAATAATATTATATATGATGCATGACAACAATTATTAGTGTGTATATTATATAATATATTATATGATATATAATATATAAAATATAAAATATAAAATATAAAATATATGTATATATGTATATATATATATATAAGTACCTATCAATCAATAAAATGGTTCAGGTGATGCACAGTCTATTCGATAGATTGAGACAATGCTTCATGGGATTCTGACGATGTAACCATTTTATGTATATATTTGTATATATGGTTTTCTTTTTACTCTTCTGAGTTTTTGGCCGTTGTAAATATGAACTTTGTACTCTGAAATCTCTACCAGTGAACTCAATGAAGCTTGAAAATTCTTATTATATATTTATGATTATGCTTTTGTTAGACCCCTGGTAAGTAATGCTCATTTCATAAGAAAATTCAGCGAAATATCTTCATGCATACATAATCCAAAGGATTGAGCATGTATCAGCTATTAACTCAAATAGACAATTTAATTACATGAAAATGTATGGCCTCAAGCAATCTATTGTTTCTAATCAAAAGACTAAAGAGCAGTTGTTATTTGAGGGAAGAGGCAAAAGTGGAGATGGCAATTCATCAGAAATTAAGCATTCTATATCAATTTTTGTCAAAATCTGAAAGAAGAGTGATGAAAGTTGTGGTTTGACCCCAGCTTGGCTTAGGTTGAAGAAGTCTTCACCTTCTCAATCAGATCAGCGGCATCTTGAACGGTAGAGATGCTCTCAGCTCCACCTTCTCGAATAGAAGTGTCAAATTTCTCCTCCAAAGCCATCATGATTTCAACCTATTTAAATTTAGGCATATCAGAACAAATGACAAACCACTTTATGCCTAGATTAATACTTATATTTATCTTGTATCATGTAAGATACAACTAAAAAGTAGTGCTAGATTTTGAGGCCTCACAGTGTCAAGAGAATCAGCACCCAACTCTGAAAATTTAGTTTGGGGAGTCCAGTGGTTTCATCAATAGAAAGTTGTTTCGCTACTGTGCATTGGACAATTTGCAGAGTTTCTGGTTGAGCAACCTTCAGCCAGTAAATGGAACACATAAGAGAAGCCAACAAAACGAAAGACATAGGAAAGAAAGAAGTATTCAGTATGAGAAAATGGGAGAAAGAAACTATTACAATGGAGCAAGAGATTATAGTATTAATGCCACCACCAGAGAGTGCAAATGAATTTTTTGTTGCCCTTTTCAACTGGACTTTGTTCACATGTTTAAGGCCACTAAATACAGAGCTTCCCTGCATAAACAAATGGTATGAACCAATGATTACAGTTTTTTTACATATTTCATGAAAAGCAGCCTGTTTAAGTTGAAAAGAATCACTACAGACAACAAAATTCTTCCTCTGATTAAGTATTACCACAATCAGGTTTAATATTTAGGATTTGAATTTTAGATTACTGCTTAAGTTAGAACAATTTTAAGCTACTTAATCCATGTGTTTGGTAGTTAAGCAACTGATGACATGTTCTACAAGATACAAACTTAAACAGTGTTTGTCTTACCATTATGGACAGTTTCTTCATTTGGTGACTGGTTGTTGTTCTGACCCCAAAATTGAAGGAGAGGGTAGCCAATGAAGTGGACAGAATAGAAGCCATGACTTATTTAGGGAAGTACTCACCTAAAAATGTAACTCCTAAGATCAAGAAATTTATTGGCTATATTCTAATGTAGATTTTCTATGGTTGATGCCATTGAGAATATATATTAGGATTTAGCTCAAACACCTAATAGGTTATGAGTTAGAATGGATGATTCCAAAAGAAGGAATAATTCTGAGGAGCCATAAATTGGACGGAGTGCACCAGAAAATGTATCTTTTTCAAATGGGGGGTATTGATATAGAACGAGTCATTTCGTGGCATAATGCAAAATACTGAAAGACCAAAGACACCTCCTATACTGATGTTTCATGGTGCATGTCGCTTCTTCTCATTTGTCTGCTTTACCACTGATCAACACGATGTCAATGTGACAAGAAAATCCATACCCTTTTCTTTTCATTTTATTTTATGTTTTTATCATCCCAAAATCACATTAATCCAAATTAACGATTTAACTTTGATGAAATTATTTAAGAGATGGAAGTACCTTAACACTTTTTTCTTTAGACATGTTAATAAAAAACTTTTTGGTGCTTAAATTTATTAAAAATCATAATTTTTAAAATTTAAAATAATAAAACAAATTTATAAAAATTTTAAGACATCATGTTTGAATTTTCAAGTATTCAAAATATAAACCAAATTTTAAGGTTGATAAAGCAAATGAATTCAACAAAATTGCTTCTAATTCCTAAAGTAACTATTTGTAAAATATCATTTCAGACGCTTTTATGCATAAGGAACGAAATCACGCGTTTTTATGTCTATACATTTTTTCTTTTATGACGCTATATTATATGTTAAAACTTAATAATTATATTAACATTAATTTTAATTATTTATAAATAAAATATATGTATTATTAATTTTTATTTCATTTAATTTTTTATTATACAGAAATAGTAATTTACTTAAATTTAATCAAATATGGGGCGAATATTAAAAATTATAAAGCACTAACTTTCAAGTATTACTATTATTAAAAAACCGTAAACTTATGGCATGTTTTACAAGAATAATAAAACTACTCTGTAACATTCTATCATCAATAAATAATGTATTGCGTCATTAAAATTCTGATTTTATAATTTATTGTTTTTAATAATATATTTATACTATATAAGTAAAAGATTTTCTTGCTATAATTACTGATGAAGAGAAGATAGATAATATAAAAAGATACAATTATTTATTCATTTGAAAAAATAAAGATGTGATATATCAACAATGAAAAAAAACAGCAGTTATAGAATAAAAGAGAGCAAAAATAATATATATTAAAAAATCTTAAAAAATAATAATATAAAAATATGAATATGCAAGTGTTTTTATTGATAATATAAGAAAAAAATATTTTTTAACGAATTTAAATTTTTTAATTTTTTTTAAATCATAATTTATAATATAATATTATTTTTTTTATCAAATATATGATAGAAAAAATATAATATATATAATAAGTAAAGAAATAATATTCTAAAATATGGAAAAAAATTAATTTAGGTATTTTTTTCTAGTATTATTCAAATTGAGTTTTACTTATTTATTTATCTGTATTACACATGTTAAAATAAATAAAAAATTTCACTTTGCCCATATAATTTAATCTTTAATGAATATAGTTTGATGAAGTAATACCAAGTTTCGATTTTCAATATGAAATTTTGGGATGGAGTTTCGTAAGTAAATAAAATAAAATCTTGGTAAAGAGAGTTTAGTATGATAGAAACATTTTTTACTCTGTAATCATGATTCTTTTTAAAATTATTATTTTTAATAATGGCTAAAATATGTGTAGTTGTATTATTGAAAATATTGACATAAATGTTTTTGAAATAAAAGAGTGACATGTTACTACTCTTATTTTTTTTAATTTGTTACCACATTAAATAATTTAGTAAGAATAATATGATGCTTTTTGAGTAAATTTCCTTTATTTTTTTAACTCAAAAATTTTAGATTTTCACCATTAAATTTAATAAAAACATAAACAATCTCAAATTCACACTTTCCGCATTCATTATTAGACACTATTGGATTGTATGTCATATTTTTTATATAATTAATTTTTTAAAAATTTTAATTTTAATTTTTTTCTCTATTTTTTAAACATATTCATTTTTTTTTCACTAATTATATATTATACTTTTTTTCTCTGATATATTTTTTTCTTTCTTCTAAAAAAAAGTTAGAAAAAGAATCCACATACATAATTATAGATTATGGATTAATACAAAATATTTTTTCTCTTTATAAAAATTATGTATACAATTTTTTTTAATAATATTATTTGATATTGAATTTTATTTTTTTTAAATAGTGGTTCTTGCATGCACTGATGCAGACCTGACATGCTCCGTAACCCAATGTACAATCTCTGTTGGATTCTGGTGCTGGAAAAACAAGTAATGAACGGTGAAGCACTGTCACATAGTGCCCTTAAAATGTAGGTCACCATTGTACCTCTTTACATATGAGAGATCCTCGTCATCTCCTTTACAACATAAAAAATATAACAAAGTAAAACCTGTGTTCTCATTATTGTCGGTTACCTTTCGAACTATATATATATATATATATATATATTCATATACCTCCAGACATTGACCACACAAAAACAGAAACATAAAAAAAAAAAAACCCTAATTTTATGGAAAACTGGTGAATTGTATATATGAAATTTATAAATTAAATGGAATTGTGTAAAACCATTAATAATGGCTATTTTTAAACTAAATTTCGTATTTATGATTTTCTATTTTTAATTTTTAATATTATTTATTATTTATTAATAATATAGTATTTGATTCTAAAATCGATTTACTGTTAACAAAATACTTACGAGTGAAAAGTTAATGTCTGGAAGAAAATTAAGTCAGAAAGATTCTCAATATTTTATGTTTATGTCTTTGATGGCGCTGTTTATATTACATGAAAAAAAAAATATATTCTCATATAACTTAAAAATTGTAAAAGACTGAATTAAAAAATGGAACCAAAAATATAAAAAATTCTCGTATAAATCTTGTTTTTTACATAAATCTGAGTTTTGTATTAAAACACGAGGTTAGCTAAAAATAAATAAATGGAAGGAACAAAATAAAATAAATATTTTTTTCACAAATATAAAATAATTTAAAATAATGAATGAATTATTTTGTAATCAGAAAAATTGACTGTTATGTTTACAATATTTTAAATTTACTATTATGATTATTAATTTCAGACTTATGATGATTGACTTATGAAATAAAATATGCATACTTTGAATTAATATTTATTATAGCAATTATCCATTGCTTAATTAGGTTACTATTTTCTGCCAATAGAGAGAAATCAAATAGAAATCAACACAGTCTTGTTGAATTTGAATTAACCGGTACTTTAATAATATAATTTATTTTATATATTATATTTCATAATAAATAATATTTCAACACAATTAAAATTTATATTAAAAAATTGTAATACATATCATATTTTAAGTTTATGATAAAATATTAATATATGTGATAAACAATAATTTGTTTAATTATTGATAATTTATTTAAAAAAACATTAACTTTTAATTTTAAATTTTTGATGAATTTTTACGAACATCTAATATATAATTATTTTTAATATAATAATAATAATTTTAAATACTTTTATTTTTATTAAATTGTATTATAATTATTATATTAATAAAAACAAGTTTTATAGAAGATATTTGTTTAGAACGGTGTCAACTTATCACCCCGCATACTAACAACTTTTAAATTGTCAATTAAAGTAGTATTTAAGTTTATATATATATATATATATATATATATATATATATATATATATATATATATATATATATATATAGAATCATCACACTACAAATATCTATTATACAACTTAATTTATTATCATTATTATAATCATAAAAAATTAATAGAAATAAAAATAATTATTATATTATTAATGGAGAGAATGTGAAAATATATTTTTCTTATTATAAGGTAAGGATAATATAGAATTATAAGATATTAACTTTTATCTTCAATCATATGGAATTGACGAACATCCGTGCACCAATGTGACCGTGTCCTTGTATGTTGGGAATTATCTTGCTTCAATACCAAACAAATTAAGTTAATTTTTAATTAAGTAAAATAGAGTGCATGAAATTAAATTAATCACTTTAACCCACCCTCTTCCACTAATCATAGCTATTTCATTTCGTTCTGAAAAGAATCCCTTTCCATTATTAATGGATTTATACATTTGGAGATAAGAATGGGATATAAACAAAATAAAAAAACATCGTAACACACTACTCTGCACTTTTCTTGTTGGTGGTGTGATTAGTATACACCATACCTAGGTTTAGGCACACCTACAAAATACTAAACCAGAAACAACATGACATCACCCCTATAAACAAGGGAAACAAAAACAGCGTTAAAAGCTGTTACGACTTACCCTCGCGTCATCTTTGCTTCAACCGGTTACATTTGTATTCCCTCTCTTGTCCTTCTTCATTCTCCAATTCTCCAAAATACTATAAACTCGATTTAATTAAATATGGTCAAGAAAATTCTGGGAAAAACTAAAATTGATTTGAAAAAATAAAAATAAAAGGGGAAATAATAAACGAAGAGGGTAAAATGGGTATATCGGCGGAAGAAGGCTAGTGTTGTGTTTATCGTCAAACTCGTGAACCAGTGAGACCAGACAATAACAGAGAAGGTCCACCAACTCAGCCGGTGACGGAGTTTCAAGCATGTCCAATTGAATTCTGCCACGTCATCCATCATTCCTCTGCCCTCTCCCCACGTGTCGACGGTCACCGTCAACTCACTCCCTTCCGTCAAACGAAACCCGAAAAAAGGTTCCAAACCAATTTCACCCAAATTTGTTTTAAATAAATGAAAAATAAAAAGGAACAAGGCACAAAAAGGCGTCGATATATTCTCGCCGGCCAAAATTAAATTAAATAAAACCCTAGCTTCGTCCCTTCTCTTTCTCTCGCTCTCTTTAACTTCTCTGTTTCTCTCTCAACGGTAGATCGGAGGCGAGGAGGATATGGACGACGACGATGAGATCCAGTCTCATCCGTCGCCGGCGAGCGGATCCCCGGCGTCATCGCCGCGGGCGAATGGACGGATAACGGTGACGGTCGCGGCGCCGGCGCCGCCTCCGCCGAATAGTTTGGCACTAGCGCTTCCGATTCAGCAGCCGGTGAAGGGGAACGGTGGCGGAGGAGGCGGCGGCGGTGGAGGAAGGGAGGATTGTTGGAGCGAAGGCGCGACGGCGGTGCTGATCGATGCATGGGGAGAGAGGTATCTGGAACTGAGCAGAGGAAATCTGAAACAGAAGCACTGGAAGGAGGTGGCGGAGATCGTGAGCGGCAGAGAGGATTACACGAAGGCGCCGAAGACCGATATTCAGTGCAAAAACCGGATCGACACCGTTAAGAAGAAGTACAAATCGGAGAAGGCGAAGATCGCCGCCGGCGCCACTAGCAAGTGGCCATTCTTCGACCGTTTGGACCAATTAATCGGTCCAAGTGCCAAGATCCCCGGCGCCGGCGGAGTCGCCGGAACCAGCGGTGCCGGAAACAGTATTTTACAGACCCAGAAAGTGCCGTTAGGGATTCCGGTGGGCGTTCGAGGCGGAGGGAATCAGTATCACCATCCTCAAAGGCAGGCGCAGCATACGCCGCAGCAGCAACAACCGCAGCCGGTTCCGTCGAAGAATCAGAAGATTCAGTTCCGGCGCCGCGGTCCACCGGTGGAATCTGATTCGGAGGAGCGTGGCGCGTCGTCGCCGGCTTCGAGCGACAGTTTTCCTCCGGAGAGTTTCGAGCGGAAGAGGCCCCGGGTGATGAGTTCGAACCCGACGAAAGGAAGCGAAGGAAGACGGAAGGCGAAGGGCTGGGGAAGCGCGGTGAGGGAACTGACGCAGGCGATTCTGAAATTCGGGGAGGCGTATGAGCATGCAGAGAGCTCGAAGCTGCAGCAAGTAGTGGAGATGGAGAAGCAGAGGATGAAGTTCGCGAAGGATTTGGAGTTGCAGAGAATGCAGTTTTTTATGAAGACCCAGTTGGAGATTTCGCAACTCAAGCTTGGAAGAAAAGGTGCTAACCCTAGCAACAATCACCATAGCACCACCAACAATAACAATAACAACAATCACAACAATAATAGTGACAGTGAGTGAATGAGAGAATGGGTGAGTGAGTGAGGGATAACTAGGTTAAGGTTAAAGTTAAGGTTAAGGTTAGAATTGAATTGCATTAGCCTTGTGATGTATGTGTTTAGCTGTTATTATTATTTATCCCTTAATTGTTACAGTTAACTTAAGCGGGATTGCTTTGCTTCCCCCTAAAACAGAGCAGGAAAACTTGCAGGAGTATGTGCTGAGTAGTGAATAATCTAATAATCTCTTTGCAGCAGATGTATGAGTTGTCATAATGCGTAAACACCATTCTGAGTTATATCAGTATCAGGGGATCATATCATTCTTAGCTCTAGTTAGATATTTCGTTTGTACATATTGGATATGCAACCTCATGGATACCAATTTACTGCATTTTGAATTTCCTGCAGAAGCTTAAAGTTTATTACTTCAATTCCTGAGCTGTTTCTGTTCTTCCCTGGGGACATTGTTGTCTATTAGTGATAGTGTAGGTTGATTGATCACCATCTTAAGAGACGATTCTTTGATAATTCTATAGCACAGACATGATCTGCCTTGTCAAATGAGTGCACAGACATCTTCTACAATGGAATTTGGCTATTTTAAAGTGAGAGACGACTTTAAAATACACTTTATAACAACATAAAGTTCAAATAATTAAAAAATTTGTATGTCACACTATACAGTAAATAGATCAAGTTGTTATAATATGTCATCTTTAAGAGTTTATAAAACAGTTTCTATTAATACTTTCATTGAAAAATTGTTATACAAAAACATTTTCTCAAGTTCTAAACTAACAGGTAGTATATTTTATTTTCTGAAGTCCATTTCTCGCGTCTAGGAAGTTAAATCCCTGTGTCACTTTTTATTTATTTATTTTCTGTTGTTGAAACTGTGTTGCTCCTAAACACAGTGCATAAAGGGATTTTCTTCTCAGACATGACCTTGAAATTCAAAACTGCATTAAGAGATTACCTAACACTAAGTTGGGCTGATCTTGGAACTTTAATGATTACTATGAAGGTTTCAATGACTAATTCTTGTAAGTTGACACTCTAGTATTGGTTTGATTTCTTTACAGTATTCCTAATCTCAACTTTGGATTCTTTCGATATTGCCTCTAATTTCTAAACCCTAGACTAAATCTTACACCTTTAAACTTCTATATGGTTAAATATTGGTTTGACGTATCTTAGACTATGCCTAATTTCAAAGTTTAGATTCTTATGGATGCTGCCAATCGTCTGAGTACATTCCTCAACGTGCCCAGTATATTATATTTAATGCGCTGATGAAATCTAGAGAAATGTTGAATGTTAGGTAGATTAAAATTGTTCTATTGAATAGGTCTGCAATCAATTGAATAGAAATAAAAAAAAATGTTCAAATGATTCGAGTTTAAATAATGATATCATGAAAGCTCATATTTCAAGCATTGGATTCTGCTGTAGTCATTAGACCAAAAAACAAAAAAGAGAACATGTTTCGCGAAGTTTTTTAGTTGTTTTCTATTGCTATTTACAGAACAAAATGTAGGCACTTATTGCAGCTTACCTCGTATCTTTAAAAATAGAGAGAGATGTACTGCGTAGTGTCTCTATATTTAAGATTCATTTCACCTCTGACAGCATTTGTGCATGCTGGTTTATAAACTCCATAGTTTACCTTGAGTAGATCAAACAACTTGACTTCGTCAAGTACTTAAAAATCCTGTGTCCCAATAAAGTACATCTTGATAGCTATCCACATATAAAGAACACAGATAAATTTAAAATATAAAACTTACTTGTAATTATTTAGTATTTTTCTATTGGTCTTTGATGACTATTAAATTTGACATTGAAAATTGGGGTCCATTTTAAGTTTCAACTTTTATTGTACAGCAGGTTACTAAAGTAAAACTATATTTTTAATTAAGAAAAAACAATACAAAAAATATCTAAGTTTTGTCCCAGCTCAATTTAGAAGAGAAATGTCTTCTTCTTCTTAAACTATATCAAGCCTGAGAATAGTTAAGCAACGTGATATGCCACAGTTGGGAGAAGCTCCAAATAAAACTTATTTATCTTCAGTAGCAAGATAAACACAACCTCAAAAACAAAAAAAGATAGTTAAAACTTTAGTATCCAAGTATTTTTAGTGTTTTGTTCTTATCAAATTAGAGTTTTCTTTTGCCATTTTATGCATTGAAAATCAATATCAAAGATTAGATAACACAAACATTGTCTGATACTCGAGTAATTGATATAATTGATAAAATTCTTTTTTAGTATTTAACGTAATATATATATATATATATATATATATATATATATATATATATATATATATACTCTAATACTTGAATATATAAAATTAATATAATTTACAAATTTGTTTTTGAGTATTTCATGCCGTTATTTTGAATGGAATTCAGTATTGAATTGAATGCAGATGTAATACCTTAAAACTTATCATTTTATTCTCTAATGGTTTAGTTATATTTTTAACTTTTAAAGTTTGGGTCATTCTTGTTTTTTAGTTCCTTTAATTTGAAAAAAAAAGGGATTAGTTCCTCAAAATTGAAAAAAAAAAGTTATTTTTGAGAGTTAAAAATAAGTTTTAAAAATGTTTAGTATTATAGATATATAGTTTAAAATTTAAGACTTAAATTTTAAGATTTTTTTAGTATCTCAAACTTATTTTTACTTTGAGAATTATAATTATATTTTTTTCAATTTTGAGGATCAACAAAGTTTTTAATTTTAAGTACTAAAATTAGAATTGTCCAAAATAAAAAAATAAAAATAAAAAGACGTTTGAAATGTCGCGTTAATCACTCTACCTAAGATATTAACATTAAAGTAACGAATGGATTTGAAAAGAGTGAAAAAAAGAGAGAGTAAAAATTACGATGTTTTGACTAAAAGAAGAGAGATAATTTTTTTAAAAAGATTATATAAAATAAAATTAATTTGATTAATTAAAAAATTAAAGAATAAAATAAATAATAACGAATGAACATAAATTAAAAATAAAATATTAAATTTATACAAAATAATTATTTAATAAAATTGATAAAAAAATAAAAATAAAATTAATTTTATAAAATTTATAAATATTTTTTAAGATTTTGTAGTCATATTTATATTTTATAAATTGTTTTTATAATGATTTATAACTAATATTAAGTTTAAAAAATATTTAATAAAATTATAGTGTAATTTTGCATATATATTTATATATAATAAATAAAAAATATATAATATTTGATTTCAAATAATTTTTTATTAAAATTGATTAGTTATTTTTTTATAATGTAATATATCTTGAATTAAAAAAAAGATAATTAAGGAAAATAAAAAATTAACATATCTTTACCTCAGGAAAAAATGTATAATAATATAAATCATATATTTATTTCTTTTCATATCAACATATCTTTTATAAATAATGTTTTACTACAATAATGCGAACAAACTCAACATAAATATTACCAAAAGCTTATTTTTTAAGTACATTGTAAAAAGCCCAAAACAATCCCAAACATTATGGAAAATGCAATGAATAGGAAATGAATTAAAACTGACAACATGAACCAATCATCAATTTGTAGATGAAAGTTTATTTTTAATGAATTTTTTAATAATAATTTGACAATCCATTTCCTCAGATAATGAAAAAGCATATGTAGGTGTGAAAATTTGATAAATTCATTGTAATATCTTATTTTAATTCAGGGAACTAAGTTATGATATAAAAATGTCCTTCACTCTCTCCCTCCATTCTCAAATATTTATTCTGATATAAAAATTTTACATTGCATTGAAAAAGGACAAATTAATCAAAATATTTGTTAGGTTAATAAATATAATTAGATTAATATTATCATATTTTTATTACTAAATTTAAGGATAAAAAAACATTATTTTTATTTCAAAAATAATAAAATTAAATTAATATTAACAAAATTTTGTTTTTTTATAGTTTATATTACTCATATATCAATATTAATGATAATTTATATATATATATATATATATATATATATATTAATTATATTTTTAAAAAATTAAGATAAATAATAATTTTAAATCAAACAAAATTTTATATATAAAATTTGATCATAATAATATAAAAAATATAAAAATTTTAAAACGTTAAATATAAAAATTAATCTCAATAATGGTGCTAAGTTAAAGATGATGTTTGAATCTTAAAAAAAAATAAAAATTACCCGAATATTTTAATTTGAAAATGAAGATGTTGGTCAATGCATGCATATGTACCACCTAACCATTAAAATGATGGTTTTAGAATATAATATATATAATGGAAGTATTAAAAAATATAGTGAGATTTGTTTGGGACAACTAACTAATTTATTTTCCAAAAAAAGTGATGGGTTTGAGTTTATTAGAGATGAATGATGGTCCCAAAGAGCAAGGGCATGGACCCTCCTAATCTCTTCAATGTCTTTGTGTTGTGGGACTCATTTTCTGTAACTTACAATCATTGGTGGAGGCTCCATCACACACACCAATTACATCATCACTTTCACACCCTTCTTTTCTTATCACTCTCTTACCTATTACTTCTGCTTAATCAATTTCACTTTATCTCATTAAATACATAAATTTATCTGTCATTAAATATAATCAACCAATCTTAACTTTAATAATAAATTTTACTTAATCACAATACTTTAAAAGATTACATTACATTGTAAATAGACCAAAATGTTATTTATCTATTGCGGTCAAATTTTAAATTATTCGTAACTTTTGTTTCTCTAAAAAAACAAAGAAGATAAAATTAACAAAAAAAATATTTTATTAATTTTTTATTCACATTTTACTATTTAAGAACAGAAAAAACAATGAAAATTACGCTTAACGGAAGAATAAGCTATTGTTTTCAAATAAAACAAATACGGTCTATTTAAGTTATATTAAAAAAAAAAAGTGAAATTAACTTCTTCACATGCTAAATTGTACTTAAACAAAAATTAATTTATAACATCACTTTTTATAGTTTTT